CCTCTGGAAAAAATAATGGGAAAAGGAATGGGAAAAGGGGAATCCTGAGAAATCCCACTCAGAGCTCCAGTCCTCTGGGAAAAATAATGGGAAAAGGGGACTGGGAAAAGGGGATTGGGAAAAGGGGATTGGGAAAAGGGGAACTCCAAGAAATCCCACTCGGAGCTCCAGTTCTCTGGAAAAAATCCAAAGGGAAAAGGGTTTGGGAAAAGGAATGGGAAAAGGGGAATCCTGAGAAATCCCACTCAGAGCTCCAGTCCTCTGGAAAATCCAACGGGAAAAGGGGGTTGGGAAAAGGGGAATCCTGAGAAATCCTGCTCGGAGCTCCAGTCCTCTGGAAAAACCAACAGGAAAAGGGGACTGGGAAAAAGGGGATCCCAAGAAATCCCACTCAGAGCTTCAATCTCTGGAAAACCTGACAGGATCATCCCCAAAGTGATCCCAAAACGGGGAAAGGGAGAAAAAAAGGGATGGAAAAGGGGGAAAAGGGGATTGAGAAATGAGGGAAAGGGGAAAATGGGGAATCCCAGAAAGGCCCTCTCGGAGCTCCAATCCTCTGGAAAATCCAATGGGATCATCCCCAACATGATCTCAAAAGGGGAAAAGGGAGGGGAAAGGGGGAAAAGGGATGGAAAGGGGATGGGAAAGGAACGGGGATCCAGGGAAATCCCACTCGGAGCTCCAATCCTCTGGAAAATCCAATGGGATCATCCCCAACATGGTCTCAAAAGGGGAAAGGGAGTGGGAAAAGGGGGAATCCCAAAAAATCCCACTTGGAGCTTCAACCCTCTGGAAAATCCCATGGGATCATCCCCAACATGATGTCAAAAGGGGAAAAGGGAAGGAAAAGGGGATTGGGGAAAAGGGAATGGGGGGGAAAAGAAGGGGATTGGGGGAAAAAAACAAAGGGGGGATTGGGGGGAAAAAAAGGGATCGGGGGGAAATGGGGGTTTGGGGAAAAAAAAAAGGGGATTGGGGGAAAAAGGGGGATGGGGAAAAAAGGGGATGGGGAAAAAAGGGGATGGGGAAAAAAGGGGATGGGGGGACAAAAAGGGGATTGGGGAGTCCCGATCCCGCACCGTTCATGAGGCGCAGGGAGAAGAGCAGCTTCTCCTCGGATGCCAGCGCGGAGTTGAAGGGAGACCACGTGGGACGGATGGAGCCACTGGTGACATTATCCCGCCTGGAAAAGGGAATGGGACACCGGAATGGGAATGGGATACTGGGAATGGGACACTGGGATGGGAATGGGATACTGGGAATGGGACACTGGGATGGGAATGGGATACTGGGAATGGGACACGGGACACTGGGCATGGGGCACTGGGAATGAGGGCAGTGGGATGGGAATGGGACACAGGAATGGGACACTGGGAATGGGAATGGGGACACTAGGATGGGAATGGCAAACTGGGAATGGGACATTGGGAATGGGGAGCCACTGGTGATGTTATCCTGCCTGGAAAAGGGAATGGGACACTGGAATGGGAATGGGGACCCTGGGAATGGGGCACTGGGAANCTGGGAATGGGGCACTGGGAATGAGGGCAGTGGGATGGGAATGGGACACGGGAATGGGGAGCCACTGGTGATGTTATTTCACCTGGAAAAGGGAATGGGACACAGGGAATGGGACACTGGGAATGGGAATGGTGACACTGGGAATAGGACACCAGGATGGGAATGGGGACACTGGATAGGAGTGGAAATCCCAGGAATGTGGGATGGGATCCCAGGATAGTAATGGGAACCTTGGGAATGCTGGGAATGTGGATGGGATCTGGGAATGCTGGGAATGCAAGATGGGATCCAGGGATGGGAATGGAATTCCTGGGAATGCTGGGATTGGGATCCTGGGATGGAAACTGGATTTCTGGGAATGTGGGATGGGATCCTGGGTTGGGAACAGGATTCCTGGGAATGCTGGGATTGGGATCCCGGGATGGGAATAGGATTCCCGGGAATGCCAGGAATGTGGGATGGGATCCTGGGGACGCTGAGAACTGAATTGGGATGCCACGACTGGAAAGGGGACAGTGGGAATGGGAACGGGATTCCTGGGAATGCCGGGATTGGGGGTGGGATCCCGGGATGGGAATGGGATTCCTGGGAATGCCGGGATTGGGGGTGGGATCCCGGGATGGGAATGGGATTCCTGGGAATGCCGGGATTGGGGGTGGGATCCGGGCAAACCTGGGGTAGTGGCACTCGATGGGAATCACGGCCGGGTTGCTGCGCACGATGGCCGGGTTGCTGCCGGGGCTGGGGTCGTAGCTCAGGAGCGTCCGGTAAATCAGGGAATCCGGGGTGATCTGGGAATGAAAACCGGGAATTCCGTGGGAAATGGGGATCCCCAGTTCAGGGATAGCATCAGGGTGAGCGGGCTTTCAAAGAAATCAGGGAATCCGGGGTGATCTGGGAAGAAAAATTGAGAATTCCATGGGAGAGGCCACCCCTCGTCCCAGCACCACCGCTGGGAATGCTGGGGGAATCCATGGAAATGGGGGAAAAGGGGATGGAAAAGGGGAGGAAATGGGGAAAATGGAAAGGAAAATCTCTGAAGAGATGGAAAAGGGGGAAAGGGATGGAAAAATAAGAAAGTGAGAAAAGGGGGAAAGAGGGTGGAAAAGGGGAAAAGGGATGGAAAAGTGGTGAAAAGGGGATGGAAAAGGGGATGGAAAATCTCTGAAGGGATGGAAAAGGGGGGAAAGGGGTGGAAAAAGAATGGGAAAAGGGGGAAAGGGATGGAAAAATAAGAAAGTGAGAAAAGGGGTGAAAAGGGGATGGAAAAGGGGGGAAGGGACTGGAAAAGGATGGAAAAGGAAGGAAGGGGTGGAAAAGGGGATGGAAAAGTGAGAAAAGGTTGGAAAAGGGGATGGGAAGAGAGGGAAAAGGGAGGAAAGGATGGAAAATCTCCGTTTTCAGGGAGCTGAATTAAACCCGAGGGAAAAGGAGTTTTTCCCAGAGGAATGGGAAAAGTTGAGGGGAAAACGCTCCAGCCTGGAATGGGAAAAAATCTGCTGGAAAACCGCTCTGATTCCCAGGAAATCCCGGCTCCTCCTGCCCCTGGAATGGTCCCGGATCCGGCCCATGGATCCCCCCTAAAACCGGGAATAGGAGCGGCCCCGGGAGCCGCTCCAGGGGGAATCCCTGTGGGAATCCCGGGATCGGAACGGGACCCACCCGGATCTCCCTAAAACCCTGGGATTTGCACGGGGCCGGGAGCTGCTCCTGGTGGGAATTCCGGGATCAGGACAGGGACTCACCTGGATCTTCCCCGACACCGCGGGAGCCTCTCCAGATGAGAATTCCGGGATCGGGGCGGAATCCCGGGATAGAGGTGGGACTCACCTGGATCTCCCTTTAATCTGGGATCCGCGGCGCCCCGGGAGCCCTTCCAGGGGGGGATCCCAGGATCGGGGTGGAATTCCGGGATCGGGGCGGGATCCCGGGATTGGGGCGGGACTCACCCGGATCTCCCTTTAATCTGGGATCCGCGGCGCCCCGGGAGCCCTTCCAGGGGGGGATCCCAGGATCGGGGCGGGACTCACCCGGATCTCCCTGCACAGAGCCGGGAGCCGCTCCGGGTGGGAATCCCGGGATGGGGCCAGGACTCACCTGGATCTCCCCCGACACCTCGGGATCTCCTGGAGCCTCTCCAGGGCGGAATCCCGGTATCGGGACGGGACTCGCCTGCATCTCCCTTAAAGCCTGGGACTTGCACACCCCGGGAGCAGCTCCAGATGGGAATCCCAGGATCGGGACAAAAACTCACCTGGACCTCTCTTAAATCTGGGATTTGCACGGAGCCGGGAACCTCTCCAGGTGGGAATCCCGGGATTGGGAAAAGGACTCACCTGGATCTCCCCCGACACCTCGGGATGTCCTGGAGCCTCTCCAGGGCGGGATACCGGGATCGAGGCAGAATCCCGGGATGAGGGGCAGGACTCACCTGGACGGTGCTGCCGCACTCGTGCAGGCCGGCGCTGAAGGTGACGGTTTTTTGGGATGGATCCAGGTGGGAATGTTTGCAGGCGGCGGGGCCCAGGCTGAGCTCGGCCGCGCTGACCAAGCGGCCGTTCCCGAACAAATCCCGGTGCACGATCACCACCAGCTGCCCCTCCTGGCACTGCACTTCCACGGGAATATGGGAATAATGGGAATGGGAATCATCCCCCCACAGCCAGGGATTGGGGTTTGGATCCCAGGGAGGAGGCGCCGAAGCCGCCGGGGCAGCGCAGAGCAGCGCCAGGAGGAGGCGGATTTGGGAGAGCATCGCGGAAAATCCCTGGAATTCCCGGCGTGGGAAGAGGATTTCATCCCGGATTTATATCCCTCTTGGAATGAGCCCCCCCCTCCCCCCCCATCCTCCGTCCCCCCACTCCCCCCACCCCCACCCTTGGAATTCCAAGGGCGCCCCCTGAGCTCGCCCCCGTCATTTCCGGGGTGCGAGGGATGGGGATGAGCATTCCCGGCGGATTTTTGGGAGTTGTTTATCCCAGCCGGAGCCGCGGAGCCGCGGATGGAGGGAATTGTTTGGGCTCCGAGCTGATAAGGGACGATCCAAGGCTCCGCTTTTCCCCCGGGATCCCAAATTCCAGGGATAACCCCGGCACCCCCGGAGCGCTGATTTCCCCTTGGATGAAGATTTTTGGGAAAGGGGAGGAGGGAAATCACGTCCTACCACCCCCAAAAAATGGGATTTGCGCATCCAGAGAGGGTTGGATGATCGGGAATGACGGAGAGATCCCCCCCTCACCCCCGAATTCCAGCCCTGGGAAAGAGGTCAGAGCCAAAATTCCTTCGGTTTTTTGGGATAGAACTTGGCTTCTCTTCCCCCTCTCAAAATCCTCATCCCCAAACTCCGCTTTTCCCCGGGACAATCCCGGCACCCCTGGAGCGCTGTTTTTCCCTGCTCTTACCCCTCCAAAAAATGAAGGAATTTTGGCTGGAATTTGAGGGTGACAGCGACAGGGGCGGGGTCTCGGTCATTCCCGATGATCCAAACCCAAATTCCTTTTCTTGGGGGTAGAACAAGGGGGGAAAACGCCCCGGGGATGATCCCTGGAATTCGGGATCCCGGGGAAAAAAGGAGTTTGGGATGAGGGTTTGGGGAGGGGGAGGGGAAGAGCCACGTTCTATCCCCCCCAAAAACCACCGGGATTTTGGTTTGGATCACCGGGAATGCCGGACACCCCAAAATTCCAACTCCAGAGCGAGGTCGGGGCCAAAATTCCTTCGTTTTCCCGAATTCCAGGGATAATCCCGGCGAGCCCGGGGCGTTTTTTCCCCCCTCGGATGAGGAATTTTGGGGGGTGGGGGAGCCACGGTCTATCCCAAAAAACCGAAGAAATTTCGGGAATTTCGGCTCCGACCTTTCTCCCAGGTTTGGAATTTTGGGGTCCCCGATATTCCCAGCGATCCAAACCTCTGCGGATGCTCAAATCCCGGTTTTTTTTTTTGGGGATCCAACCTGGGTTCCCCCTCCCCTTTTCCCAAAAATCCTCATCCAAGGCTCCGCTTTTTCCCGGGATCCCGAATTCCAGGGGTCGTCCCCCCCCCCGCCCCCCCCAAAAAAGGGATTTGGGTTTGGAGCATCGGGAATGACCGAGATCCCCCCAAATTCCAGCCTCGGGAGCCAAATTCCAGCATTTTTCTCCCTCCAGGCTCTTCCCATTCCGTTAAATCCAAGGAAAACAGGGAAAGCTCCTTAGGAATAAATCCCATGGATTTTCCAGGCTCATTCCCAGTTTTTCTCATATTTGTGGGGTTGTTGATTGACCTTTGTTATCTCAATCCTGTTTTTTTTAATGGAATTTCTCTCCCTCCTCACTTCTCTCTCTCCCCCCTTCCCCCCAGTTTTCCATCGGTTCCTAAATCCCCAAATCCCGCTTTTTGGAAAACCTGAAAAAATCCACCCGGATCTGGGATTTTTTTTCCAGCTGAAAAATTCCAGGTAAACGAAGGGAAAGGGGGAGTCGATCCCAAAGAAATTCCCGGGGTTTTGGTGCTGGCATTGATTCAACATTCCCAAAAAATTTTATGGATCAGCGTCAGCCCCTCCACCCCTTCCAGGGGGTTTCTGCTCATCCCAAAATCCCTGAATCCTGGGGGTTTTTTTGGGTTTTTTTTGGGTTTTTTTTTTCCCCCCTGTGTTTAAAATACTTTGGAAACGGCTCTGACCGAGTGGAAATTCCAGGAATTCCAGAGGTTGAGCTCCTGCGTCAGGGAGATATCGGGAATTCCTCGGCCGAGGAGAGTGGGGGAAGAATCCTTGGATTCAAGGCCTCTCCTCATCCCAAAAAAACTCCGGGATTCCTTCGGGATTTCAGGAAAAACCTCTCGGGATGGATCCCAAGGGGGGGAAGGGGTGAATTCCAGAGGGAAAATTTCTGGGAATAGGAGGTGGGGGGAGGAATTTCCCTAGGGAAAAGGGGATTTCTGCTCTCCTGGAAAAATGCAGGAGCAGAATTTTTTTGGGGAATAGCAGAGCCCGGGAATTCCCAGAGAGCTGGGAAAGCACCAAATCCAGTTTTGGGGGGGGTTTTTTCCTGTTCCATTTTCCCTAAAAACCGAATTTAATCCCAGGAATTCTGGGAGCTGCTGGGATGGGAGCTCTGAGAATTCCAGGAGTTTTTCCTCATTTATTTCAGGAGTGGATTTTCCCGAGGTTTTCCTTCATTCCCGGCTCTGGGATTGGGATTTGGGCTCTTTCCAAGTTTTTAACTTCAAAATCCCTCTGGATCCCAGGAAAACCAAGGGATGATCCCCAAAAAAAACCTGAATGGGGAAGGAATCCACGAGGATTTGGGGCCTGGGAAAGGATTCAGGAATCCTTCCCCAAATCCAAGGATTTGGATGACCCCAAATCCCAAATCCCCCTTGGAATCTCATCCCTAGGAATTCCAGATGAGGTTATCCCGGGATTTCCTGCCCAGCCCATGGAATTCCCAGTTTTCCATGGCCAAAAATTCCAAATTCAAGGGGAGAGAATCCTTGTTCTTCCCAAGGATCCCTTTTCCATGAATCCCTGAATCCATTAAAAAACCCTGGAATTTTTGCTGCAGAATTCCCAAAAAACCCCAACTTTCCCAGCCCCAGAAAATCCCAGGATTTGAGAATGGGAGTGGGAAAAGCTGTAATTCCATGGGGGGAGAAAAAAAAAAAAAAAAAAAAAAAAAAAGGAGGAATAAAAAGCAGGAAAAGAGAATTTTAGAGCCGCATTTGGGAGCAGGGGAAGGAATTCCAAGTGCAGGAATTCCAAGGATTGTTTATTCTGGCGGGATCCAACAATTCCAAACAATCCTTGGAGCAAGGAATGAAACTCCGGGGCTGCAATTCCTCCTCTCTCTCTCTCTCTCATCCCAAAATGGAATTTTTTTCCCAAAAAATCAGTCACAGATTTGATCCCATCCCCAGATTTTCCAGCACGGAGGAAATTCATAGAAAAAAGGGAGTTTTGGGAAGAGCTTTTCCCTCTTCCCTGAGGTTTTCCAGGGGAAAAAAAATATCCCTGGAGGGGGGAAATCTGATTCCAGAGGGATTTCTGGGATTTTTGTGCATGTGGAATTCCCGGGATCAGGGAGTTCCAAAGCCTGGAAAAATCGGGAAGCGCTTCCAGTCTGATCCAGGATCCCAAATTCCCTCCTTTTCCTGGAATTTTCCCCATTTTTTTCCAGCTGGAAAAGGATTGAACCCCAACTTTTCTCATTCCCAGTGGGAATTCCGAGCTCGTCTCCCCTTTCCAAGTGCCAAAAATCCAGGAAAAACGCTGGGATTTGGCCATCCCAGCATTCCCAGTTTTCCCAGTCCCGGGATTTCCTCTCCAGCCCCTCCAAATCTTTGGGAATTTCCTCTCTGAGCTCAGTGGAAAATCCAGGGAATCAATTCCTTCCTGGATAGATTTTCTGGGATTTCCTGGAATTTTCTGGGAATTTCAAGGAAAACTTCGAGGTCCCAGGGATGGGGAATTTTCTGGGAATGGCCTTTTAGGGGTTTTGTTTATTTTCTTTTTTTTTCCCCCTTTTTTAAAATAATTCCTCACTTTTTCTTTTCCAATTGGAATTTCCCCGGGAAGCAGCACCGCGATTCTCCCAGGAATAAATCAATTTAAAAAAAATAAATAAAGTCATTGATTAGCCAATTAATTAATTAATAACTGTTTATTTAATATTTTGATTCATTCATTAATTCATTAATTTGCACCGGGAGCAGCTGCTCCAGCCCCAAATCCCAATTTCCCCTGGAAGTGGAAGGAGCAGCACGAAAAATCCCAGAATTTTTCTCGGGAAAATCCAATTTTCCCACTTTGTCCGGGGGTGGGGAAGCAGCAATTCCTGGGAAATCTGGCCCGGGATGATCCCAAATCCTGTCCCTAAATCCCATCCTGTCCCCAAATCCCATCCTGTTCCCAAATTCCAAATCCTGTCCCCAAATCTCCCGTCCCTAAACTTTGTCCTGTCCCCAAAACCTGTCCTGTCCCCAAATCCCAACCTGTTCCTAAATCTCGTCCCCAAATCCCATCCCTGTCCCCAAATCCCTGTCCCGAAATCCAAATCTGTCCCCAAATCTCATCCTGTCCCCAAATCCCATCCCTGACCCCAAATCTTGTCCCAAACCTCATTCTGGCCTCAAATCCCATCCCCGTCCCCAAATCCAAACCTATCCCAAAATCTAATGCATTCCCCAAATCTCCTCCTGTCCCTAAATTTCATCCCTGTCCCCAAATCCCTGTCCCCAAATCCAAGCCTGTCCCCAAATCTCATCCTGCTCCCAATCCTCGTCCCACTCTTAGGTTTCATCCCATCCCCAAATCTCGTCCTGACCCCAAATCTTGTTTTGTCCCCAAATCTCATCCCTGTCCCTAATTTCATCCCTGACCCCAAATCTTGTCCCAAACCTCCTCCTGTCCCAAATCCCATCCACGACCCCAAATCCAAATCTGTCCCTAAATCCCTGTCCCCAGATCTCCTCCTGTCCCCAAATCCATCCTGTCCCAAAATCCCTGTTCCCAAAACCTCCTCCTTTCCCAAATCCCATCCAAGACCCCAAATCTGTCCCTAAATCCCTGTCCCCAGAGCTCCTCCTGTCCCCAAATCCCTGTTCTCTAAACCTCCTCCTTTCCCAAATCCCATCCAAGACCCCAAATCTCCTGTCCCCAAATCGATGTCCCCAATTCTCCTCCTGTCCCCAAATCCATCCTGTCCCCAAATCCGAGTTCCCGCGGTCCCGGCCCCGCTCTGGCGACATCGGCGACGCGATGGGGACAGGAAGGAGCAGCGGTGGCGCTTCCTGGTGGCTTTGTCATGTGACGGCGCAGCAGCAGATCCGATCCCGAATCCCGGCCCGGTGAGCGGATCCATTTTTCCGGGAAAACCCAGGGAATGCGTGGATTTGGGATCGGGGGGAACCCAGCCCCAAAAGGGGGGTGGGAAAAGGGGTTTTGTCCCCAAAATTCCCGCGCCGCCGCGGCCTCCGTGTGGCTACAGGGAGGGGGAAAGCTGGGGTGGGAATGGGGCCGGGATTGGGGTGGGAATGGGGCCGGGAATGTCCCCCCCCTGGATGGAGCGGGGCGGGCACGGCCCCACGCGTGGGGACAATGGGGACAGCCCGGACCGGTCTCGGGTCCCCGGGTCTTTGGGGAAGCGGCCCCCAAGGTACCGGCAGCACTTCCCGGTGCCAGAATTCCCATTCCGGTACCAGGATTCCCCCATTCCTGCAGCCCCATCCCCATTCCTGCAGCCCCATCCCGGTATCCCCATCTCAGTCTCACATCCCCATCCCTGGTCCCACCATCCCCATCCCGGTCCCACACCCCCATTCCCGCATCCCCATCCCGGTCCCGCCGGCCCCACATTCCCAGTCCCATATCCCCATCCCTGGTCCCACCATCCCCATCCCTGCTCCCGCTATCCCCATCCCTGTCCCACATCCCCATTCCCCCATCCCCATCCCGGTCCTACCATCCCCATCCTGATCTCAGGATTCCCCCATTCCCACATCCCCATCCCATTCCTGCATCCCCATCCCATTCCCACATCCCCATCCCATTCCCACATCCCCATCCCATTCCCACATCCCCATCCCATTCCTGCATCCCCATCCCTGTCCCACACCCTCATCCCGCTCCCACCATCCCCATCCGTGTCCCGCCATCCCCATCCCTGTCCCGCCATCCCCATCCCGGTCCTACCATCCCCATCCTGGTCTCAGGATTCCCCCATTCCCGCATCCCCATCCCTGTCCCACATTCCCAGTCCTACCATGCCCATCCCTGTCCCGCATCCCCCCATTCCCGCACCCCCGGATTCCCCCGGCACCCCTCCACAGCTCCCGGTCTCACTCTCTTTCCTTTTCTCCCTCTCCCCCCCCTTTCTCCCTCCTCTCTCTCCCTCTCTCCCCTCCCTCCGTCCCTCCCCCCGCCGTCCCCGCCCCTGTCCCCCGCTCCTCCTCCCGGTACCGTTCCCGTTCCAGGCCTCCCGAACCCGCGGCCGCATCCATGCCCGAGAGCCCGGCCGAGCCCCCGCCGCCCCCGCCAGGTACCGGGGGGACACGGGGACAGAGCCAGAGCCCCCGCAGGGACCGCGGGCGTTTCCTGCTTGGGGAGAGGCTGCGGGTGAATCCTTGGGCTGCCAAATCCCTGTGGGGTGGCAAGAGGCGTCCCGGCTTTTTTCGGCTCCCCCCAAATATTTATTTGGGGGAGAAGGGGTGGTTTGTCCGCGGGGCCGAGCTGGGGGAGGCCCGGGGGGTGAGGGGACACCTTTGGGGACACCTTTGGGGGACAGGTCTGGTGGTGGGGACAGCGGTGCCGGGGAGGTTTTGGGGTCGGTGCCGGGGAGGTTTTGGGGTCGGTGCCGGGGAGGTTTTGGGGTCGCTGTCTCCCCGCTTTCCCCCCCGTCGGGGCAGGAAAGGGCGGCCGCGGCACCGAAACTGTTTTGCTTTCGTTTCCTCCTCTCCGCTGGAGGTTGGGAAATCCTGAATTCCGGGAAGGCGAAGAGCCCGGGGAGGGCGGGGAGGAACCCGCGAGGATCCCGCAGAACCCTGAGCGGGAATTCTGGCCCCGAGCCACAGCTCCCATCCCACGGGAGGATTTCCCTCCGTATCTCCGCAGATGCGGACGGAACCGAGGACGGAACCGAGGACGGAACCGCGGCCCCCGCGGAGCCGCGCCGCGCCGCGGGCACTCCCCCGTCGGAGGCGGAGGAGCAGGAGGAGGATGAGGACGATGAAGATTTCCAGTTCCTGCGGTGCGAGGGCTGCGGGCAGGACTCGGCGCGGCCGCGGCTGCTGAGCTGCCTGCACACGCTGTGCCCCGGCTGCCTGAGCGACACCAAGCAGTGCCCGCTGTGCCAGGCGGCCTCGGGGGCGCCCGCCATGGACAACCTGCTGTTCGCCAACCTGCGGAGCCGCCTGCAGGTCTGGAGGCAGATCCGGAGCTCGGGCGGGCCCGGCTGCAGCCGCTGCAAGGGCGAGGCGGCGCTGGTGTGGTGCTCGGACTGCGAGGAGTTCTTCTGCGCCAAGTGCTTCGAGGAGCACCAGTGGTGGCACAAGAAGAAGGCGCACAGGGTCAGGAAGGTGGAGGAGCTGCGGGCGGGCTCGGCGCGGCAGTTCCTGGAGGACACCAAAACCTCCTGCAGCCTCTTCTGCTCCAGCGCCAGCCACCCCGAGGAGAGCCGCGTGTGCAGGTGAGGGCGCCGGGGCGGGGCCTCCCCAACCTCATCCTGGCCCCAAACATCGGCCTGGCCCCAAATCTCAGCCCTCTCCCAAATCTGCCCCCATCCCCAAACCTCGTCCTGTCCCAAATCCCACCCTCCTCCTGAAATGGGCAGGAGAGGGATGAGCCTAAATCGTGTCCTGTCCCCAAGTGCCAGCCCTCTCCCAAATCTTCCCCATCTCCAAATCTCGTCCTGTCCCCAAATCTCAGCCCTCTCCCAAATCTGCCCCCATCCCCAAATCTCGTCCTGTACCCAAATCTCACACTGTCCCCAAGGCTCGTTCTGTCCCCAAATTTCACCCCATCCCCAAATTTCACCTCACTCCCAAATCTCCCCGTCCCAAATCTTGTCCTGTCCCCAAACCTTGTCGTGCCCTCAAACCTCCTCCTGTCCCCAAACCTCCTCCTGTCCCCAAACCTCTTCCTGTCCCCAAATCTCCTCCTGTCCCCAAATCTTCCCATTCCCAAATTGCCCCTATCCCCAAATCTCGTCCTATCCCCAAAGCTCTGTCCCAGGGATTTTGTCCCCTGTGTTTGGGGAGCGTCAGCAGTGACCCCAGAGAGCCCCCGGCAGTGCCAGGGCAGGGGGGGCTGTGCCAGGGCAGCTCCAGCTGGGAATTGTGGGAAAATGCTCCAGAAGGCACTGCCCAGGCTGCCCAGGAATGGGCAGTGACCCCTGTCCATCCCTGTCCATGACTGACCATCCCTGTCCATCCCTGCCCATCACTGACCATCACTGACCATCCCTCTCCATCCCTCTCCATCCCTGTCCATCACTGTCCATCCCTGACCATCACTGTCCATCATTGCCCACTGACCATTCCTGACCATCCCTGTCCATTCCTGACCATCCCTGTCCATCCCTGTCCATCACTGTCCATCATTGCCCACTGACCATTCCTGACCATCCCTGTCCATCACTGCCCATCCCTGACCATCACTGACCTGTCCATCCCTGACCCCTGTCCATCCCTGCCCATCCCTGACCAGTGTCCATCCCTGTCCATCCCTGACCCCTGCTCATCCCTGACCAGTGTCCATCACTGACCATCACTGACCTGTCCCTCCCTGACCCCTGTCCATCCCTGACCCCTGCCAATCCCACCCATCCCGGGAGCCAATCCCATTCCCCCTGGAGCAGCTCCCGGGGGGTTCCAAACCCTCGTGGCTCCGATGCCACCCCTGTCCTGATTCCCGCCGCGTGTCCCCTCCCCGGCAGCATCTACTGTCCGCGCTGCGAGCGGGCTCTGTGCTGTACCTGCGCCCTGCTGGACACTCGCCACGCTCCTTTCCGCGACCTCCGCGCCGAGAGCCGCCGGCGCCAGGACGAGCTGAGCTCCCTGCGCCGGGACCTGCGGCGGCTCCGCGGCGGCTTCGAGGCGGCGCTGGCTCGGCTGCGGAGCGAGGCCGCCCGGCGGGAGCAGCAGCGGGAGCGGCTGCGGGAGCGCGTCCGCGCCAGCGCCGAGCGCCTGGAGCAGCTGGTGCGGAGGGAGGCGGAGGAGCTGCGGGCGCTGCTGGAGGCGCGGCCGGAGCGCAGCGGGAGCGCCCTGGCCGAGGAGCTGCGCGGAACGGAGGGGGCCCTGCTGCGGCTGGAGGCGGCCGAGAGGCTGGTGGAGAGGCTGGGGCGCTACGGCGGCGAGCAGGAGCTGATGGACATGCAGCCCTTCGTCAAGGGAGCGCTGCTGCAGCTGCAGCGGCTGCGGCCGCCCCAGCCCCCCGAGCTGCGGGAGCCGCCGGACTTCGCCCAGTGCCGGGCGGGGCTGCGGGCGCTGGTGGAGCGCGTCACGGGGCGCCCGGGTGAGGGGATACAGGGATGGGATACAGGGATGGGATGGGATGGGATGGGATGGGATGGGATACAGGGATGGGATGGGATGGG